TCAGCCCTGCAGCGGTCCAGCCTCGGTGCCTCCTTGATGCCAGGGCTTTCTCCAGCTCCCCACTGCCCCTTGCGTAGGAGCTAAACCTGGTCCCCAGCTCTCAGCCCCACATCTCTCTGTGGGACCTCTGGTAGCCTGGCTGGAGCCAGAGGAGGAGGAGGAGGAGGAGGAGGGCTGGGCTGCACTGCCAGGGGCTTACGGGAGCTGTGTCCCACCAGGCATCTCCTCAACGTGACATGGGAGCACAGGGACTTCTCCTTCAATGAAGGCGGCTACCTGGTCAGGCCCACCATGGTGGTCATCTCGCTCAACCAGCACCGGCTCTGGGAGATGGTAGGACCCCCAGACCCCCCGGGATGGGCACACGGTGGGGTGGCTGGGCAGGGTGAGCCTGGGACCATGCACAGGCTGGGGTCTCACCCTGGGGCAGGTTGTCCCATGCAAAACCCGTGACGGATACCAAAAGTACCCACGGTGGCATGGTGGGGCTTCATGGCAATGGCGGGCACCAAAGCTCTGCCAAGAACTGTTGTTTTTTTTCCCTGCAATTTGGCTGAAAAGTTCCAAAAGAGGCAAAAATGCAGCTGCCTACCTCTGGAGAACAGCAGCCAAACACCTAGACCTGAAACAAGCTGTGTGGAGGGTTTGTTGTCCAGTTTAAAAGTATTTTGGGTGAATTCGGCCAGGTTCGTGCTCACCCAAGCCCAGAGCTTGGGGCCCAGGAGGAAACACCTTGCCCCGTGGTCAGTGGGTGTGTGGGGAAGGGGATGCCGAGATGGATCTCACCATGGTTGAGCTCCAGCCTAATGATGCTCCCGGAGAAATGAGCCCCGAAGGGGTGGGGAGGATGGACACGGGACCCCGTGTGACACCCAGAACCCCTTGCCGGGATGACAGTGCGCTCTCCCTCGAGGGCAGGTGGGCAAGTGGGAGAAAGGCATCATCCACATGAAGTACCCGGTATGGCCCCGCTACGGCTCCTTCCTGCAGCCCGTGGCCGATAACCGCCACCTGACAGTGGCCACACTGGAGGAGAGACCCTTCGTCATCGTGGAGAACACGGACCCCAGCACCGGGGTCTGCGTGCGCAACACCGTGCCTTGCCGCAAGCAGACCAACTCCTCCCAGAGGTGAGCAGCGAGGATGGAGCTCGGCAATTTTGGCCACCGCTCCCCACACACATGATGTCCGGGGGCACCAGGGTGCTCAGAGCATCTTTGGTTGGTCCAACCCATTTTTCCCGGTGTGGTTTCAGTGCCGATGGCCTCGTGGATCCCTACACCAAGCTGTGCTGCAAGGGCTTTTGCATCGACATCCTGAAGAAGCTGGCCAAGGCGGTGAAGTTCTCCTACGACCTCTACCTAGTGACCAACGGCAAACATGGCAAGATCGTCCGCGGGGTCTGGAACGGCATGATTGGTGAGGTAGGGGTGGGCATGGCTCGGACCCCACCTTCAGCCTTCCCTGGGGGGCACCACTTGCTCGGGACATGCCCCAGCCTGGGGCTTTCCTGCCGGAGACAGGGTCAGGGTGTCTGCGGTGGGACTTTGGGCAGGGGACAGCTGGGCATGAGCTTATGGGCAAGGCTTGGTGGAGGGGAACGGGGAGGGAGTCAGCGGAACATTTATGACCCCACAGCTGGTTGCGTTTGTGTCACTGGTCATTTAAGAAGCTAATATTTTAAAAGAAAAGACAAAAGTTAAGGTTGGAGATGCTGGAGATGAGGAAATGCGTGGGGAAGGTGGTCTGGGTCTCTCTGCCTGTCCGTCTGCCCATCCCCAGACCATCTGCCCCTTCTCCAGGTGTACTACAAGCGCGCGGACATGGCCATCGGCTCCCTCACCATCAACGAGGAGCGCTCCGAGATCGTGGACTTCTCCGTGCCCTTCGTGGAGACGGGTATCAGCGTGATGGTGGCCAGGAGCAACGGCACCGTCTCCCCCTCTGCCTTCCTGGGTGAGCCCTGTGTCCCTCGGTCTGTCTGTCTGTAGGTTCATCCCACGCTTCTGACACATGCAAATTAGAAATATTGTTCGGTTTTAATAACCTCTAAGAAAAAAAAAGCCTAAATCATAAGAGAAGGAGATTGTGCTGCCGGCTTTGGGGCTTCCTCCTCCTCTCGCCTGAATAATCCTTTTATTATGGAGATGGAGGCTGGGATCGGTGGTTTCCTCCTCTCCG